TCTCTCTCTCTCTCTCTCTCTCTCTCTCTCTCTCTCTCCCCCTCCCCTCCCGTCTCTCTCTCAATAATATGTGTCTCTATCCCCTCCTCCCGATATCCCCCCAGGATGCCGTCAGACAGAGACTCCGTGCGCGGGCACCACTGGTCGCTGTATCAAGAAGACTTGGCACTGTGATGGTCACTTTGATTGTGAGAACGGCACCGATGAGGACAACTGTGGTCAGTCAATGCAGGCATCTTGCTGTTGTTGTTGTTGTTGTTCTTGTTGTTGTTGTTCTTGTTGTTGTTTGGTTTGAGTTTATCAGTCAGGGTGTGTTTAGATGTGTGTTTAGATGTGTTTGTGTGAGTGTGTGTGTTTTTGTGTGTGTGGTGTGTGTGTGTTGTGTTTGTGTGTGAGTGTGTGTGTGTGAGTGTGTGTGTTAGTGTGTGTGTGTGTGTGTGTGTGAGTGCGTGTGTTTGTGAGTGTGTGTGTTTGTGTGTGTGTATGTGTGTGTGTGCCGGATGCTCTGATATGATTTGCTCCTTCTTTTCTATCATCCTTTGTCTCCTCCTTCTTTTCTTTCATCCTTTGTCTCCTCCTTCTTTTCTATCATCCTTTGTCTCCTCCTTTTCTTTGTATGTTACTGTCTAGTAATACTTCTAATCTTTTTTGACACCTTTACAACCTAATTGTGTTGCAAGTGCTGCAACACTCTCACTAAATCTAAAATTAAACTGTGAGTGTGCTGCAGGTGCCTGTTTCCACTTAAGTGGCGATGACGTCTAACGAAGAAAAAAAGGACCAGTTTAAAGGGCAGCAACTTGGATATCGCACCCTGGTAGCTGAATGCTTTTAAGAAGTAAAGTTTTTGTGTTTTACCCAATTATGGTCGACATTTTTATAAACGTGATATTTCTAGAAGGTGGTGATAACTTGTCTTCATTTTAATTAAATTTTGCATTCATAGTTTTTCTTGATTGATATTTAAATATTTGAAGTTTTGTTGAAATTGGTGCAGATGTGACTGAGCTGTTGCCCTTTGAATGGGCCCTGGGTTGGGGGAGGGGGGAGGGAGGGGTTTGATACCCTGTTCCACATGTGTGTGTGGATGATGAGTTTGTTGCGTGTTTCTGTCGCTGGCAGGTTGGTGCACAGAGGATGAGTTTACCTGTGCCGACTACACATGTGTGCCCAAGTCTGCGCGCTGTGATGGACGAGTGGACTGTCCACGCGGTGGCCATGACGAGAATGGATGCTGTGAGTATTTATTTAACCCCCTCCACCCACCTCCTCCCCCTCCCAACCCCAGTCATTGTGGTCGATTAAATCGTAGATAAGTTTCGTTCTCTGGTGTCACAGTTATTTGAATGGCTACTTAGATTTGGTTATCAGAATTTTTATTTCACTTGACAGCTCAACTTTTTAAAACTTGTGCTCCTCTTCCTATTTACATTCCACCTTTTATAAATGTATAGATGTATGGCCTTTAACACTTTGCAGTCACACAGCAAGCAGTAGAAAATACCCAATCTGGTCACCCAGCCAGGAGAGTGACTGCAACTGATTTCTCGGGCCTGGTGCAGAATTGCGCCAGGTGACTGGAACGGATAATTTTCACCGTCGCATTATTGCGCCAAGTGACAGCAAAATGTTAAGAATGCTTGGTTTGCCTGTTCTCAAGCAATTTCCAACTTACTAGTATCTGAAATCCTATAATATCCCCTGATACCACGGGCTGTTTGAAAGCAAGACTTGAAGAGTGTTTTGGTATGCATTTATGTATCATGTATCCTCACTGCGCTAGCAAAATGGCACCTCTCATTTTTGCTACTTTTGTGAGATAAATTGGCAAAACTGTTCAACTAGACTTTCACTAGACTATATTCATGTAATTGTGGTAAAACTTGCCGTGGATGTTTCTTTTGTAACTGCCAGTGCAGTGTTGTTTTGGTTTTACCAAAAGATATATATGTAGTACCACCAAACAAAGTAAAAGGCTAGTTTAATTTAACCACAGCTCTGATTTACTCCATTTTGCTAGGGCAGTTACGGTATGTCTGTGTGTTTGCCTTTGTAACCCAGATTTCCCTGTGTGGATCAATTAAGTGCGATTTCATTTTTTTCATTAAGATAGGAGACCCATAAGCCCTGTTTTGTCGTTGCAGTCGGTTTACACGAGACTACGGGTGACGTGCGAGTGACCGTGTCGGGTGTGGATAGTCCTATCTGTGCGGACGGCTGGATGATCTGGCACAGTACGTCCCTCTGTGCCTCCCTACACTACAGGTTACACACAACTAATTCTTTTATTTTTTGTCACATTTTGTCACATTCTATCTTTTTGAGCTGCTTTTGAAAAGTGCAGCCTTTTGAATTTCTTTTTTTTTTTTGATTTAGGAAAAGTTTTACCACACTTGCAGCTGCACAAGGTCATATATGAGTCCTCTTAAACAAACACTTATGGGTCACGGCGTCACTTTTCTCCCGATTCTGTTACCTTTTGTTAGCGTGACTCAGCAGCCCGCCGGAGCTCCCCGGCTCGGGGTCATGGGGTTAATGAGCCCTGAAGTGACTTTGCCGGTGTCGGTTAAGAAGTTCACATTTTTATCTAAGTTTGAAACGATATAACTTCTTCCCCATCTCAAACAGCAAACCATTACACTGATGTACTAAAAGATCAATGTCTTGAGATTCATTTTGTGTTGGAAAGGTTAATTTCTCTGCCTTAGTTTTTGTTCTAGAGAAGTGTTTGTAGAGTACCCAATTTGTCCTGTTTTATTTACATAGGCTACTTATGAATAAGTAGGCCATGGAGTGTATTTCGTGATGAATCAGATTAGGACTGGTGTCCAAAATACTGGTCTTGCACACACCTTACCTAGGTAGTAACACGAGTCCTATTTTTTGTTTTCCAGCGGTGTGGACACTTGGTCTAGAGAACCCATCCCAGCAGGTTCACAAGACGATCGGTTTGCCGTGCTGAAGGACCCGAGTTTGGATGCCAATCTCACCAACTTCCAAATCAGGTACTGCGTTTAGCTGGAGCCAAAAAAATTCAAAATTTTGGTTTTGGCACATGTGAACTGTTGGCTGAGGACCCAATTTTTTTTGGGGGGGTGAAGGGTTTTGGACGTACTACATAACCAAAGCAAGCACTCTTTGAAGAGTCCTGATTGTACATATATCTTAGCACCCTGCCTTGCTCTTTTGTCACCTGTGTACTTTGAACTACATGTGTTACGACATGGTGGAATCGTGCGCTCGCTTGTCAATTTTTGGGCATGTGGAGTTATTGGTATCATCTGAAAGCTGATTTATCTGCCTTGCTTCCAATGAAATGAATACCCCTTTATCTTGAATAGAACTCAAGATATTTGCGATTGAAAGAAGTGAGGTCGCCTGGTTTCAGTGGTGAAATAGGCGAGAAAATAGCTACCAAAATTTGGTAACTCCAATAGCTAGAGTCTTTGAAAACTGAAAAATTATATCTTTTGTGCCTTTTATCAATGTTTTTCAGTAAAATTCACATGAATTTGTGTTTTTATATGAACATAAAAGAAGTGAAGCCAAAAAATCAAAATTAAATCAAAATTTCTAAACCTCTGGAAAAATGCCTATTTCTCCGATTTCGTTATTTTGACGAGTGCCTGATTTCACCACGCTGCCTCGCAAATTAAAATTTTGGCTTGGCACATGTGAGCAGTTGGCTGAGGACACACTTTTTAAAAAATGTTGTTTTTTGACGTACTACCCAACAAAAGCAAGCACTCTGTGAAGAGTCCATCCCGATCGTACATATATATTGGCACCCTGACTTGTTTTTTTTCACTTGTATACTTTGATCTGTATTCTTGACTGGTGCTCTTGCCCGTTACTTTGAATTCTTCTCTTCGTCATCATGAGAATATATTTTTGTTTCTCTTTTCATGCTGTGGGTGGTTGGTGGGTGTTCTGGTGTGGTCTGCTTCTTCTTTCCTATCAAACATATATCGTCCTTATTTCCCCTTCTGCTTTTTTATGTTTGTTACTCTCTTGTAACACCTCTAATCTTCTGGCACTCATATGACCTTATGCAGTTGCGAGCGCCGTAAAACCTCTACTATTACTGAAACTAAACTTTTCATGCTACACAACAAAAGCTACCTTTCCAATTGTACATACGAGGTCTCCGCACAATGCCGTGTTTTGATTTTGATCTGAATACTTTGACCTGTATTCTTGACCTTCACCTTGAACTCTTCTCTTCACCTTCACCTTATCACATGTACTGTGCACCTTAGTCTTGCCATGTAGTAAAGTAATATTGCTTGACCGTCACTTTTCTATCTGTCCATTGTTCCTCCTGCTCACCCCCCTGCCCATATCTACC